GGCATGGGCAGCGGCGTCTCCACGATCGCCGGCTTCGAAGCTCTGTCGCCCGCCGACCAAGCCGAAGCGCAAGCTCAGTACGAAGCTCTCGTCACCGATGGAGCTTCGGACGAGACGGCGACGACCACCATTCGGGCCAAATTCACTGCGTCGACGGTGCACATTGAGCTGCCGCAGCTCCTGGACGCGATCGCAGCCGCCGTGGGCCGAGGCAAGACGCCGCTGGTGATCGACGCCAGCGACCGCGTCAACACTTTCTTTAGCTACCGCCAGTGCACGCTTCTTGATGGAAAGAAAATGGCGATGGACAAGAGCATGCGCAAGGTGCCCGTACCTGCGATCATGGAAGAAGCGCGAACGCGGCTCGTCGGAGCGCTCAAATGCGGTCACCCAATCGTCGTTGCCATGAGCCAATGCGTCGTTGACTTTATAAACACGTTCAATGACGCGACACTGCCGGTCGACGTGACTCGGAACGGAACGCTGGCGTTCTTTCCGAGCGACCTCGTGTGTTCGAACGCGGGGAAAGGGCTTCTAAACCACCTCGATGCGCTCTACCGCCCCCACGACATGAAAGACACGAGCAACATCCCGCTCTGTCGCAACCCAAGTGAGTTTTACGTCGTGCTGACCTCGAATTTCACACACACGGACTTTGAAACGTACCTTTTCAAGCCCGAGATGGGTCTGCCTCTGCCCAAGTACCAGTACGAGTTCATCCTCGTGCAACAAGAAGCCATCGAAGAAGATTTATAATTGCTTGTATATAGTGCGTTGTGGTCAATAATGTCTACTTGAGCCGTAGCGTCCGACGCTTGGGCTTGCAGTACGCCGCCGTATACTCGGTTGTATACAGGTGTCGCGGGTGCACAATCGGATACCGAGGGTGCAGCATCAGCGGATTCTACCAAAACGACTTGACAATACTCTCCATTTACAATGAAAGTAATATACCGTGTTGCGATGTCGTTGGGGAAAGAAGGGCACGACGATATGACTCGGGACGCGATGGACTCTCTACAGTAGTACGCGTACAGCCACGTCGCACCACAATAGTTGTGGAGGCTACCTCTGGCTTGGGCGTGACCGCTACAACTTTGTGTGCACTGTCATGTACAGTGCTCACTGGAGCGGGACCAGCGCTTGCAACCGCCTTTGCGACGACGATTGCCTCGTGGCTCGGCGATGCCGCGTCTGCGCTCGCAACCATGGTTGGACCCGGAGCCTTGTTGGTTGTCAATGGAGCCTCCTTTGGACTGCCTGTCGTCGTTGCTGCCGTCGTCTTCTGCGGCTCCGTGCTGTCGGTCGAGCTGGACTTTGATTTGCGGGACCGCGCTCGGAGCAACAGCTGCATCTTTTCCCGCGCGAGACGCTGCTTCAAGTGGGCTTCGAGCGTCGCTTGCAGCTTGGAGCGGCCGACCATCGGGGCTTCAAAACGCACCTTCTTGGCCGGCTTGGTCGTTGCAATTAATGTCGATGGTTTGAGCACCATTGGCTGGATGCCCTCGGGTGTCGGCCGCTTATGCAGAGGGTGTATTGGCAGAGGGTGCACGGGCATCGCCGGCAAGACGGCCCGACGACTCGATCGTAGTGGCGGTGGCGACAGTATCGCGGCCAGCGGCGGGCCGAGCGTCCCGGGTACAATGGGTATCGTGACGGCGCTCGGTTGGTCGAGGTGCTCGATGTTGGCCTTGCACTGCTGCCGGCGCTGGCGCGTGAGGTCGTCGAGGCAATCGCTTCTCAACGACTGCTGCAAGCTCGTGGCCGACGCGCGCAGCTGCTCCAGATGCATCTTGGTCGTGCGCTTGAGCTCGTCGTTTCGCGCGAGGCTGTCGGGTGACGACCGGCGCGGTGACGTCGCCTACGCCAGAGCCAAGGTCCTGCAAATGTCGCTTCCGGATTATGTATACCCAGGCAAAATAGCTCGGTGCTTTCTCGGTCTCGTGCTCCAGCGGCTTGCCGGCTGCAGGCAGAGGCGCCACCGTCATCGTGTCGCGTGGTGTGGCCACCGCACGGAGTTGGCCCTACCGCCGACATGCATGCGCGACGGGCCATACATGTCGGTACCTCGGCTTCCTTGCTGCCGGTCGTCATTGCCACTGAAAAACGGTTCTCTCAACGGCCGCAGCAATGTTCGAGGTTGCCAGCAGGGTTGTCGCAAGCGTCATCAAAGGATTTGCAGAGATTCAAGCTAGTACAGGGCAGTGCCCCGAGCAGGGCGAGCCCGCAAGGCTATGTCATCGAGAAAAGTGTTCACTTATGTATGACTCTATCTCAAGGCAGACTGCTAATGCTTTCGTCTTCGCTCATCGCATCATTGTCGGCGGCGACGGCTTCGTCCAGATCGCTCGCGGGGCTGACTTCCGCCTCCTCCTCCTCTTCCTCGGCCTGGTTGTTGCGACGCGGCTGTGTTGAGGCGCCTTTGGTCGTCTTCTCTCCGTGATGCCGCAGGAGCTTTTGTCCCTGGCGCAAGACAGGCGCAGCTTCTTTCACTGCAACACCGAGCTCGGGGCTCACGATTGTCGCCGCCGACTCGACTTGCTGGAGGTTCGTATTGACCGCCGCATGGAGGGCAAGCCGGCGGAATGCGGCGGCTCCGCAGCCTTTTGACATGGTCTTGTGCCACACGCCAGGCGGGCTCGCACCGCGCAAGCTCTGCAACCCCGTGCGACCGAGGCGCTCTGAGAGGGTATCGTACCACGCGTCGCACTCGTCGCTGTCGGCGAGCGTGAATCTGAGCCGGCGCGTGCCCGTGCCATCAGCGATGAGGCCATGCGGCAGGTCCGGCGCATACGCAACACTCGTGACGCGGAAGAAGCCGCGCGGCTTGGCCATTGCGCGCTCCGAGACGTAGTAGAAGAGCGTGTCGTCGTGCAACACCATGAAGCGGCGCTTCCAGTTCTTGACGAAGCTGCCTTGCTTGCGCACGTAGCCGCTAAAGTCAGGTGGCCCCGGCGGCGCTTCGTTGCCACTGTGGCTTGACCTCAGCATGTCGTGGAGGTCGAGCTGCCCGGACGCGGCTTTGCGGAAGCCCGCAGCGACGTTCTCAAGCAAGGACATCAAGGCCAATTCAAAACTGAGCTCGGGGCGAGCCGATCACCGGCGAGATTGACGTTCTTTCGACGCGCACGTCGAATGACACGGCAGGTTCGAGGATGGCAATGGACGCATCGCCACAGCACGCTGCGTAGGGCGGGGAGAGTGTGTCGATCTGACGGCCTCACGCGTGCCGAGCTAGTCCATCCGACTGTTTGACCAAGGCTTGCAAGCGACCTCGGCGGCCGCATCGCAGCGATGACGTGGCAGGCGCAGGAGGCGTGAAACTGGCGACATGCAGTGTAACGCAGCGCGTCAGCACGCACAGACACTGTCTTAAACAGTATTTCTTCTAGTGTCTGTACTACAGTGTCTGTGTAACAGACAGTGTTTAAGACAGCATCCATGACACTGTTTCCTCGATATCCCCCCAAACGCCAATAGAACGGCGTGCAATAATTCGATCCACGATCGCATCCTGCACAATGGTTACGTGTTGCTGATGTTGCATGTACTATAATTACAAGCTGTGCCAACGCCAGTCATTATAAGGGCTGCTGGCAGGTGCGTCGCCGCGCCCGAGATCGCATCTGGTACAGAATCTAAACCTGTATTCTATCCGGATCGACCACCGTGGAAGCCGCAACTCGAGAGAGTCGGTCTTTGCTTTGCAAAAGTAGCCGGCTTCCTGGCACAGTAGTGGTACTTGAAGCCGCTTGAGGAATCTGCTACTGCACTGCACCACCACCCATGCCTGTCCGTCAAGATGACAGGAGGCGACGTATAGTACTCGCCGGCAACAAGCAGTACGAGGACACACACCACTCGAGTAACAATCAATCAAACAAACTAACTCAACGACGACGACCGCAGCACACCGCAAGACATGGAAAGGGCTAGGCGCTCTAGCGACGGTGCTGCGTCTTGTGGGCAAAGCAATCTTTTCGTAGCTGCGCGAGCTCGGCGTCCATCGCCGCGGTCACCTCG